AGAGAGAGAGAGAGAGAAAGAGAGAGGGAGAGAAAGAGAGAGAGAGAAAGAGAGAGGGAGAGAAAGAGAGAGAGAGAGAGAGAGAGAAAGAGAGAGAGGTTGGAGAAGCATCATTCCAATGTACCAACACCAATTCTTCTCCCCATTCCAGGTTCAACCCCCGAGAAAAACTAAAAGTTAATTTTGGCACCCCGGAATTCCTGCCGCCAGAGGTGGTCAGCTATGAGCCGGTTTCCTACAGCAGCGACATGTGGAGCATGGGGGTGATTGCATACATGCTGTGAGTCGGGGGTGCAGGGAGGAACTCAGGAACCCCAAATCTCAGGGTTTGCAGCATGCACCCCGTTGCAAAAACCCCTAAAGCTGTTTTAAGTTAACATGAAGAATGGCTGGAGGAATTGGGTGTGACCAGTCTAGAGAAGAGAATGACTGAGGGGTGGAGGGGTAAAACAGCAGGATTCCAATATTTGAGGGGCTGCCACAAAGAAGAGGGGGGTCTCCAAAGCCCTAGAAGGGAAGGACAAGAAGCAACGGATGGAAACTCATCAAGGAGTAGAAGCAACCTAGAACTAAGGAGATACTTCCTAACAGGGAGGACAATTAATCAGTGGAACTGCTTGCCACATGAAGTTCTGGGTGCTCCATCCCTGGAGGTTTTTAAAGGAGAGAACTGGATAGTTTTTTTGTCTGAAAGGGTATAGGGTCTCCTGCTTAAGCCGGGGGATGGACTAGAAGACCTCCGAGGTCCCTTCCAGCACAATTCTATTCTAAAAAGCAACGGATGGAAACTCACCAAGGAGAGAAACAACTTAGAATTAAGGAGAAATTTGGTGGCGGGGAAGACAGTGAACCAGTGGAACTGCTTGCCACCAGAAATTGTGGGGCGCTCCAACACTGGAGGTCTTTTAAGAAGAGACTGGACAGGTATTGGTGTGAAATGGTATAGGCCAGGGTCCCCTGCTTGAGCAGGGGGTTGGACTAGAAGTCCTCGTGAGGTCCCTTCCAGCTCTATTCTGATGGATCTGATTGGAGGTTGTGTGTTCTCATCCTCTCTCTCTCTCTCTGCCTCCTTCCTTTCCAGGCTGAGTGGTTTCTCCCCTTTCCTGGGGGACAATGACACAGAAACGCTCAACAACGTCCTGTTGGCGGAGTGGTACTTCGACGAGGAAGCCTTTGAGGGCATCTCGGATGAAGCCAAGGACTTCGTCTCCAACCTGATCATCAAGCAAAAAGGGTCTGTGTGTGTTCGGACGTTGTGGGGGGGCTTCATCCCTTGGAGGCTTTCAAGAAGAGAACCGGACTGCCCATCTGTCAGAAATGGTGTAGGGGTCTCCTGCTTGGACAGGGGGTGGGGGCGGGGTGGACTAGATGACCTGCAAGGTCCCTTCCAAGTGGGTTAATCTGAATCTGTTGGAAAGCAACCTCCCCGGAGAGGTGGAGGGAAGGGAAGCAGGGAATTCGCATAGGCTCGGGATGTAACACAACAGTGGAGCGAAGTCTGGCCCACCAATCCCGACTGCCTGAGAACACAGGCATCCAATCTTGGTTAACTTTAAGATTTGTGGACTTCAACTCCCAGAATGCTTCAGCCAGCCTGTGAGATGCATTGGGCTGAGGGAGAGGGACTGGCCCAAAGTCACCCAGCTAGCTTTTGTGCCTGAGGTGGGACTAGAAGTCACAGTCTCCAGGTGATTGGCCCCGTCACCCAGCTGTCTTTCGTGTTTAAGATGGGACTAGAACTCACAGTCTCCTGGTGATTGGCCCAAAGT